ACGGCGTAGCTTGTGTGAAACACTATTGTTTTTGTTAAGATTCTTCTTATTATTATTTTTTTTTTTCCACTTGAGCATATCTCAGAAACTACTTGTCTAAGTGGGTGTGACTTAGAGATTAAAGCTATTTCGAACGTTCTGCGACTATGCGAAATGTCCGAAACGCCAAAAGTGTCGTTTTTTGAAATATTGCAGTAATATTAACAATAATCGTCGGATTTTAACATTGGATACATTTTGACATAGCCTGAGACAAGGCACATAGTTACGGTAGTTTAGATTTTTGATTTTCGACGAATCTTCGGAGATATTAGGTGCCAAATTTTGAAAATTTAAATTTTGACAAAAAACTTTTTTATTAATGAAAATTTTTTTATGGCATTTTACCCAGGGTTAAGGGGTCGTCTGATTTGATCAAAATTGTGAACATTTTTTGTCTCGATAATTTTTCTTGGCCGCTATTGGCTAATTCAATTTATAGGTTCTAGGTTAATTATTTATTGTCCGATTTTTATAAAACAAAGTTGATATGCTCCATGGTACAAATTCTCAATTTTTTTATTACCGGTAAAGTTTTCTATCGGCACCGGATGTGACGCAATTTTGCTAAAAAGTCCAATTTTGTCGAGTCGGAACGTCTTTTCACTAGCAAATGTTAATTTCTGCAAATCTGATAGATCAAGATAAATGTCCCTACAAAAGGCGCACAAAATGTCGGACTCGCTGTTTTTAATTTTGGTTTCGTATTTGCGCCATTTCGATTTAAAGGTGTAAAAATGAGCTATTTACAACCCATTCAGTGTTTTCATATTTCAAAATATTTCTTCGCAACTATCATAAACTTGTAGCATTAATCCATACGAAGAGAATCTATGTAAAAATTTAGTTGTAATATGAGTATTTGCCGAGAAATGGTCAATTTTGCATGAGTCACCTTTTACGCTATTTTTCCTGTAAAAGAGCCAATTATTATTGGATTTTCATAAAAAAATGACATCATTTGATGCGTAATGTCAATTTTGACGAGTTCAAACCAATTTTAGCTTTTTCATTGTCACCGAAAATGGCGCCATTTGGGCAAAAAATGTATTTATAGCCTTCAATTAGATATTTTATTCAAACGAGTCTGATTTGTAATGTTTTCAAAATTATGATATTTGATTCCAATCAACTAATAGAATGAACCCATACGATCATATAGATATCACAACATGTTTTCTAACTTGTTCAGTTGCAGAGAAATAAGCGCTTTTCAGCAGGTCACTTTTCAAAGGTTTTGGTCCATAAAAGTGGCAATTATTATTCGATTTTCATAAAAATTTCACTGTGTGATACCTAACGCCATTTACGATTTCATACAAGTAATTTAGTATTTTCATTATCACCGGACTACGTCAGTTTGTCAAAAAATGTATTTTTAGCCTCTAAAACAAGTAATTGTTTGAAGTAAGCGATATTCATTATTGGTGTAAAATTATGATATTTGATTCCTATGGACAAATAGTATTAATCAATACGATCATATTGATATCACAAAATTGTTTCTAACACCTTCCCTTGCCGAGAAATAACCAATTTTGTCAGGATCACTTTTTAAGATTTTTCGCATTTTAATTTCAGTGTATGGGTTCTGGGTTAATTATTTATTCCCTGATTTGTGTAAAAGAAAAGCCCACCTGGTGCAAATTTTCAACTTACTTCTACATATAAAAGTTTCTGACGGCACCGGAAGTGACGTAATTTTGCCCAAAACTTCAATTTTGACATGTCGAAAGGTCTTTTAAAAAGCAAATATTAATGTTTACAAATCTAATAGATCAAGATGAATGCTCATACTAAAGACGCAAAATATGTCTTTCTTTGTTTTGTTTTTTTTATTTTGGTTTTGCATTTGCATCATTTTGATTTAAAGCTGAAAAAAGGTGTAAAAATGAGCTATTTACAATGCATTCATATTTTTCATATTTTAAAATATTTCTTGACAACTTTCACGAACCTGTAGCATTAATCCATACGATGACAATTTATGTCAAAATTAGTTTGTAATATTAGCAGTTGCCAAGAAATAGGCTATTTTGCATGAGTCACTTTTCACGTTATTTTGCCTGTAAAAGAGTTAATTTAATCCGATTTTCTTTTTTTTCACCATATGATGCCTAATGCCATTTTTGACAGGGCCGATCCAATTTTACATTTTCAGTGTCACCGGAAATGGCGTCATATGGGCAAAAACTGTATTTATAGCCTTCAAAACAGATATTTTTTTCAGAGGAGTCTGATTTGTAATGTTTTTAAATTTATGACATTTGATTGCAATCAACAAATAGAATGAATCAATACGATCATACAGATACCACAAAATGGTTCCTAACTTTTACGGTTACAGAGAAATAGACGATTTTCTACAAGTCACTTTTCAAGGTTTTTGGTCTATAAAAGTGTCAATTATTATTTGATTTTCATAAAATTTTCACCATGTGATGCCTGATGCCATTTATAATTTCATGGAACTAATTTAACATTTTCATTATCACCGGAAGTAATGTCATTTTGGCAAAAACTGTATTTTTAGCCTTCAAAACAAATATTTTTTGAAGTGAGTTATATTTATTATTCGTTTAACATTATATTTGATTCCAATGGACATATAGATTGGATCAATACGATCATATAGATGTCCAAAAATTGCTTCTACCATCTTTCTTTGTCGAGAAATAACCAATTTTTTCAGGATCACTTTTTAAAACTTTTTTCACATTTTAGGTTCCCATTAGATAGTCAGCTAACTTAGTGGTAAGTTAGTAATAAATTTTGTCAGGATCACATTTTTGACATATCTAACGCATGGTAACAAATGTATAAATGGAATTGATATTGCTGGATTTGGTAGATTCTACGTCCATTTCATAACACGTGTGCAATGCTTACGTTGAAATCTGTTTAAAGGTTTCATTGGTACCGAATGTGACATGAGTTCAAGGGTAACGAGGCACCGAAAGTGACATAAGTTCAAGGGTAACGTGGCACCAGTGAAACCCGTCATTACTGCGTCGCAGTTGTAGTGTCACTTTAAGATTTGAAACAATGATTTTGTATGTCTGTCAGTAAGGAGATCTTTGATTAGGACCAAATGTCTAGAAATGGAATTTTAACTTGTCAGTATTAATTATAGAGATGCTTAGTGTCTAGTAAAGAGTTATGGCCCTTGTTTCACTTTATTGAACCTTGTGAATGCTCTCAAGCCAAAAGTTATCATCCGATCTTTCTGAAATTTATATGCATTATTTAAAGTTGCAATTTCATATTTTTAAGTTATATTTTTAAAATTTATTAAAATAAAGCCTTAAAATAGATGGTATCTATAAACAGTCCTACCTTGTTAAAGAATAATCCTATTAATCCTATAATTCACTATTGCCAGTTGAGAAATTGGCAAAAATATCATTTTTAACTCCAAATTCTAACGTTTGAAGATAGCTATTCCATGGGGGGAATAGAAAAACAAGGGAGGTAATTGTGTTATTATTTCTGGGGTCAAAGGATTTTTAAGAGGGAGGATAATACCTATGATCGTATAATAGTGAGTTGACAACCTATTGAGCAAAAGACATAGAAATAATTATGTTTTGACTTTCTTAGAAAATATGAAATTATCGCTTTAAATTAATGAAACGAAGAAGCCTATTGAATTTCAGCAACCTATCTTTGTACTATTCCAACAATTAGAAATTGGTAGATTCTTTTTGAGAGAACTGAACAGGACATTCCAAATTTCTAAAGAATGTATTCTGCTTTTCCATTCTTGTGGTTGTGAGATGTCATGATTTTTGTAATGTGTACATGATATTTCAAACTCTGATCTTACTTATCTTGTTAAGTTAGATTAGTTGAACAATATTGGAAATTATCAATAATTCTGAGCTAGCATACAATAACTGTGAAAAATCCAAATTTTTGTAATGTGTACATGATATTTCAAACTCTGAATCTTGTTAAGTTAGATTAGTTGAACAATATTGGAAATTATCAGTAATTCTGAGCTAGCATACAATAACTGTGAAAGACTTTGATATGGTCTTAAAAAATCCAAATTTTGTTTTTATATCTGACCTTAATGTTATGAGATCAATAAATGGAGACCTCGTCCATCTTGTAGACTGAGATTTGCTACATGTATAATGGTTTGTGTTGCCTGTTCTATTATTTAAGTAGATTTTGATGTGTTGATGATATTTTGATGTGATGAGAGTAGGTATCGTATTGAAAGATTTTGTCTGTAAGATTTATGTTCAAATCATTACTCAGTAATATCCTACAGATAAAACTCAAAATCTCCCTAATTCCTTGTACTATATTGAAGTACAAAGTTTGATAGCTCTAGAGGCTAAAGTTAATATCCGATTGCCTTTAAATTTATACACAGTGTTTAAGGTCATGAGACGTTGTAGAGGCTAAAGTTAATATCATAATATCATAAAGTGAAGAATCATATTGATTTTCAACGATTTCGGATAATTACTGCCAAAGTTATGGCCCATGATCACTTTGAAAAATTTTGTGACGCTCTAGAGGCTAAAGTTATCACCCGATTGACTTCAGATTGATACACAGAGTTTAAGGTCTTGAGACGAACAAGTATATTGATTTTCAATGAATCTTTATGACTTGAACAGCTAAATCCATGATGTTAAAAGTTTCGTATACTAAACGTTAGCATGAGGCAGAACTTTATAAAAACCAAACAAATTCTAATGGTTTTCTGATAATTACTTAATGAGTTGTTACTCTTAATCAGATTTTAATGTATTATAAATGTTTCATTACAGAAAAAAGTAAAAAATATGCGACAACTCTTGTTGACTGCCCGGATGATATAGCTGCTGTGGGCGTATGTTACGTTGCCTGGCAACCTATCTTTGTTATTCTAAGAGTGCTGCATGGCTATATACTTCTTCTTGAGTTATAAATCTAAAAGAATACAGTGAAAATTTATATTACAGGTATAGTTCATGAAATTCCACGAATTGGCTCTGATGGTGAGAGTGAAGAGGTGTCTGGAACATCAGATGAAAAAGATGATAATATATCTCCTGTTAAACGAAGAAATAAAAACCGTAGAATAAATGAGGTAAGATTGCCTTGTTTGCTAAAATGTATAAAATAATAAGAGTGCGTGGAAGACCAAATTATCCAAGGCATCAGGCATATTACAGGTCTGTCACCTATGTAGATTGTGAGCTCAAGGGAATAGGTATACATGACAAAGATTTTCTCTTGGTCTCTGGTGTCCTCCATTTGTAGGAAATTTAATGAAATAAAGATATACTTGTACCAATACCATACTGTAGTACCCAAATGATTTAGTATTGAGTGAATGTTGCCCCCTCCCTTCTCATCTCCTCAAATGTTGTTAAAGTCAACTCACATCACAGATAATGATTACTGGGTACCAGTGATGGGATTTCAAATTTATTCTTGTCAGATATTTTTCCCGAAAATAAAGGGGCATAACTCATCGTTATTTAAGCAAGCATTTTCAAACCAAAATTATGAATCACGTGTCCAGAAAATATTCAAATTCATATGTAATAAAAAAAAGGCGCACCTCGTTATTTTTTTTATGTTTAATTCCTGTACGGTATTCAAATTTATGTCAATAATATTCCTACAAAATTAGGTGACATTGTAATACCATAGAATGAAAGTGTGCCAACTACTGCCAATCCGTACCTGTTTCAAATTCCTCCAAAATTACCGTATTTTTCGGGTCATTAGACTTACATACGGAAGGTAAAAAAATGAAATTCCGAAATTTATTTTGCAGTAAATGTCACTCTACCACAACGAGCTGGTGACACCAACTGCTGAATAATCGGATTCGACTCCAGCACACGTATCGTCTGAAACAATTAAAGATACATTATGGGAGATTTGATAATGAGTTGGCAGTTCTTACTATAATAGTTAAAAACTAGATAATGTAAAGGCAATTTGCTGAAAATTTCATTCAAATTGATCCACTGAGAACTAAGCGGTTGAAATTTCCGGCTAGCCTTGATCATCATTACTAAAGTCAGTACGATAAACAGCATAGTCTTGATTATCCATTTAATCATTAAATCGTGAAGGAAAGTTATGCAGAAAATAGGCTCATAATCCACTAAAGATCGCAGGCTAGCGATGCCAACTAGTTGATTATGGTCTGGATAGGTTAATTAATGTCTAATTAATAATTTAGATAACATTTCAGGCCTAAAGAAAGACCTGCAATAGACAGATTTAGCTCTTGCATAATGTATGTTACAAAAAACTTGATCGTAAATTTCAAAATAAAAAACGTTCTATAAAAAAATCGAAATTTCAAAAAGACCCAGAAAGTATTTTGAATGAATTGTATTCTGTATGTCAATGCCATACTTCCGACAAATTGTCCTGTGCAGCTTGTGCGCAACCTAGCCCGACAAATTATACACACTTTGAAAAAATCTACAGCTAAGAAATTTGGTGTCCTCATACAGGATATCATCTATTCTAATCAACTTAATGAACACTTTCTTCGTCAATATTGCGATGTTATAAACGATTTGATAAATAGTAAATTTTCAGCTAAGCTTTCAATACAGCCTCATAAAGTTCAAAAGAAAAAACCTGATGTGTTATGTAAAATCCTTTTTACAGATAAACATATACAAGACATTGAATTGAATAGAATCTTTAGAGACCGATCAGTAATTAAATCTATACCAGATACTATTCCTAAAATTTCACCTACAGTCGTATACAAATTTTTACCTCCAATTCCTAATAAAATATTTAACTACTATCAAACTATTGAAAAACCTTAATGTACAAAAATTTATTTAACAATTACGATAATACTACATGTCAATGCGCCAACTCTCCCTTTAAAGACAAGTTTCATGACCATATACTGACAGGAACCTTTGATATTGTTGAAGATAAAAATCTTAAAAAACTTTTGGACCACAATTTTAGAACAACCAAGTAAAACTAATTTCAAAAAGTTACATAATCTAAAATCTCAAATCAGGAAATGCATAGTAGCTTGGTCTGATAAATTTTGTGCACCATTAGAATCGTTTGGAGAATGGAAAAACACTGTTTTTGATCTCTTGTCAAAAAGAATCAAATATATAAAACTTAACCCAAGACACCCGCCACCCGAAGTCCTAAATAATACATCCGCAGTTGAATGTCTTGCTTCTCTTCAAGATAGATTTGTTCTAACGCCTGTCGATGCCATATTTGAGGTTGGGGATCAGATAATGCAACAAACCATTGGTTTACCAATGGGAACTTCCCCGACCCCATTTATGGCAAATGCACATTTAATTAAATACGAATTCTACTTTCAAGACTATAAAAGAAAAACAGAGTACAAAGTAGCTAAAAGTTTAAACTATACCTTCCGATACATTGATGACATAACACCTATCAATGATAACGGAAATTCTAAAAAATATAAAAGTGGAATATATCCTCCTGAACTAATATTAAATAAAGAAAATTCCAGTACTATAAATGCATCTGTTCTTGACCTGGACATCAATATAATTAACAATAAATTTAATGTCGGTATTTTCGACAAAACGGACAAATTTGGTTTTGAAGTAGTAAATACCCGTCAATCTATAGTAACATACCAGATACCACGCTACATGTATATAGTGTTTTCTATTCACAGGCATTATAGTCCGGTGGCTGAAGGGGGGGAATCGCCACCTGAGCTGTGAATTTATGAGACCAAGTTTTTCTAGACCAGTTTTTTGCGTAGATTCCGAATCTGGGTGGTGATCAGGGGTTTGAGGGGGCGTTTTCGAGATATAGGGCGTCTAATGTCTACAATTGGGGGGGGGGGGGCAATGTCATTATGTTAACATAAATGATTATCATGTTATATATTAATAAAACATAAATTTCTAGGACTGTTCATCTTTTAGAGAAGTGTGTATGATGCCCTTGGACAACTGTTTTTACTTGTGGGGAGGTGGGGTGGGGGGTAGCAGGTGAGCGTGTATGGAGGGGGGGGGGGGTAAAATTGGCGGGAAATGATGATTTTCTTAGGGCTTGGTAAAAACATTACATTTTAATTTCGCTGTATACCTCTTTATATGGGTGTAAGATTCCCATTGTATGGGGTGGGGGAGAGGGTGTAATTTTGGAGACAGAAACCACTTGGTTCAAAATTAGCCAATGAAACGGTCTGTTACGTCAACGCTGATTGATTAATCAATGTCTGACGTCATAGGGTCAAAAGCCGCTCGTATAACTCCTGGCGCGACCTTCCAGTAGAACTGGTCAGATCTTCATGTAGTGTAGGCCATCGAAAGTATAAGAAAAAACAAACGAAATATACAATCAGAAGATTCAAAACCAAAGTTCATAATATGAGCGGGATAGATATCTTCTGGGTGGCTAATCAACAGCTCGCATATATCCTTTGGATATGCTTCAGATACCCATTCACATTGTAAATCTTCATTCCATTGGTTTTGCAGCCTGTCTCCATATTGTTGCAACATAATTGTTGCATTTAATGTGCAGCAAAAGACTACTCAGGCAAGATGGTAATAAAGAAAGAAAGGTTCAATATTTTTCATCACAATTAAAATTCCTCCAGAAAATCTTTCTTCTGGTGTCATCTGCGGATGTAAGTCGCCTTTCGCTGTACATGGTACAAACATTTGTTTCTACACCAGCAATTACGTCATCAGAAACATCATTTGTCTGTCCCAGCTCTTTAAATTTGTTAGAAAGTTAGAAAAAGAACGACAGGTAGTCATTACCACTGAAAGCATATAGGCCAAGATACTAATCCTGATTGGATAAAAAAAATATATCAAGATTGGTATTGAAAGTGTCGAGAATATCCTAGAACTGACAACAAACCATGAGGACACCAAAAAAGCTTACCTACTCCTCTTCACATTGCAAATTAATGGAGGCGCTGAAACAAATTGTATTTTGCGTTATTGCTTGGGCGAAATAGACATCCCAATCGTTCTCCTCACAAACAATGATCCAAATATACATATTCTGATCGATAATGAAACGGGCAAAGGTAGAAAATATCGCGGAAGGCGACATACATCAGTAGATGACGCTAGAAGAAAGGATTTCTGGGTGAAAAAAATAGCAGACCATTCTTTATTACCACCTTGCCGTATTGGTCTTTTGCTGCATGGCGGGAATGAAGATTTATAATGTGAATTGGTATCTGAAGCATATGCAAAGGATATATGCGAGCTGTTGGTCAGCAACCAAGAAGATATTTATCCCGCTCATATTATGACCCCTGATTTTGACTAAGAATAAACTAATATCTAAACATATCTCTGATTTAGTGTGTTTTTGATTTACATTTTCAGATCTCTTGAATGACGAAATAGGTACTGAACGAAAAAGCTAACGAGAAACCACTTTTAAACTTGTAAGGTCAATTTTGAACCAAACGATTTCTGTCCACAAAAAACACATGTTGCCCCCTCCCCCTCGGGCACCCACCCCGTCGCCCACCTCCCACACAAGAGGAATCTTATCAACATATTTACAGATGTTTCATCAAGCTCTAAGATAATCATCATTTTAATCAACGTTTGCTCATTTCCCGCCAATTTTACCACCCCACCCCACTTCACCACAAATCAAAACGGTTGTCCAGGGGCATCATACACACTTCTTTAGAGATGGACAGTCCTAGAAATTTATGTTTTATTATAACATGATAATCATTTATTTCAACATAATGACATTACCCTCCAATTGTAGACATTGGACCCCCATATATTTCGAAAACGCCCCCTCAAACGCCTGATCACCACCCAGATTTGGAATCTACGCAAAAATCTGGTCTAGAAAAACTTGGTCTCATAAATTAACAGCTCGGGTGGCGATTCTCCCCCTTCAGCCACCGGACTATTACAATTTATGACAATATGTATCAATAAGGAACTATTTCTCTCCCGAATAAAATCTCTTTACTTTAAATGCACTGCCAAAGGCGCTACACAATTACGCATTTTAAAAGAAATTTGAAAACTTCCATTTCTTCAACACACCAAGTTTGACATTTCTTGTAGGTATATAACCGACTACATACTGGATAAT